GGCGGCCAGCCTCAAGCCGGCCGGCCGCGGTCCATTCTTCAGGCGTCTCCAGCCGCCAAGCCAGCCCCTGACACTCCGCGGCCTTGCCTCCCCCGCTGCCCCCGTCGCCGGCTGTGGCTGCCGCCGCTGCCGCCAGGTGCATCACCAAGCTGTTCCCGACCCGCAGCCACACGGTGGCGGCCCAGGGCGGCATCAACGCGGCGCTGGGCAACATGTCCGTGGACGACTGGTGCGCGGCGGGCTCCGGGGCGGACGCCACAGGGATGGGGCAAATGTGGCGCGGCCCTTTTGGGCTGGGTGGATGGGAGAGCGCAGGAAGAGCAGGGGCGGTGAAAGCAAGAGCCTGGCGCTGCGCGTCATCCGCCTTTGGGGCCAGGGCGGCGGGTGCCGGGCGTGGTTGGGCATGTGGTGCGGCGCCCCCGCCCGACCCTGGGCTTGGGACGGGCGCCACTGGCACGGCCCACCGCGCTGCGCTGGGGACGCCCCTGAAGACATGGGGGCGGCCGCCTGCAGTTGCGGGACGGGAGGCAGGGGCGGGCGCGTGAGGGCAGGCGGGGCCGCCAGCTCCCAATCGCAGCGTCTGGGACTGCCCTTCCAGCAGCTCTCCGCATGCCCCCTCAAGGCGCCCCGAACACTTCTGGGTGCGCTGCTGCTGTGCGCCCCGTCCCCCCTGACCAGGCGCTGGCATGCGTATGACACTATCAAGGGCAGCGACTGGCTGGGGGACCAGGTGGGTGGGTCTCGCATTGGAGGGGGGCCGACTAGCACACGGTGTGGTTCTGCGCGCGGCGGGCTTGGGCGCGCGCCCTCTCGCGCGGGCAAGCGGGGCGGCCGCACGGTGGGCGGGAGCGAGGCCGGGGGAACGTGCAGTGAAGGCAAGAAAGGTGGAGGTTGGCCCCTGCCGGCCGGCCTGCGACCCTGCATTGGAGAAATATCAGATGCTCACTTGTTTCATACATCCACCTGCGCACAACCTGCGCACAACCTGCGCACAACCTGCGCATGCAGGCGTACACACGCATTTTGTTATCATTATTACACACACGCATACTTGCCCTGCAAGTACATGTTTTCCTCACACACTAGTATGCACACACATGCAAACGCACTCGCATGTAAATGAACATGTACGCGCGCGCGCGCGCACACACACACACACACACAGGACGCCATCCAGTACATGTGCCGCGAGGCCCCCAAGGCCGTGATAGAGCTGGAGAACTACGGCCTGCCCTTCAGCCGCACAGACGACGGCAAGATCTACCAAAGGGCCTTCGGGGGGCAGTCCCTGGACTACGGCAAGGGGGGGCAGGTGGGGAGGATGACGCACGTGCCCGCGCACATGCGCGTGTTCGTTTGTGTGAGCGTGTGTTATGTTATGTGTGGCATGCGTGTGTGTGTGTGTGTCTGTGTGATAGAGTGGATATATATGTGCGTGAGCATGTGTCTTTGTGCATGAGTGTGCAATTGTTGGAGGGAGGCAAAGGCAAGTGTCTGTGTGCTTTGCCTGTGCTTGTCGGCTTTGGTTTCTCCCGAGGCAACAGGTGCGCAAGTGGGTGTGTGATCAGGCTGGAATGTGGCGGCTCCATGGGCCCCTGGGCACCTCCGCCCCTGCACACGTGTATTGCGCCACCCTTAACCACCGCCCCTCCAACCCCTACCCTCCCCCGAAGGCGTACCGCTGCGCGTGTGCCGCGGACCGCACCGGGCATGCGATGCTGCACACCCTCTACGGCATGGCCATGAAGTTCAACATCCAGTTCTTCGGTGGGGGGGTTTGGGGATGGCGGAGGGATGCAGGGGTGGGGGTGTGTTAGGGGCGGG